TTTTATTTTGATTTATCTATATTTCATGTTAATAACACGATCTCACACGCCCCTGGCTTTAAATACCTATAGTGTCTAAATAAAGTTATACTTCACTTTACTTTACTGTCAGTATGGTATATTTTGTAAATCTTTACATGTGAGCTTACTTACCCAGCCTACTGCAATTTTTGAAAATCCTCCTGTTTGTTTAAATACAGTGAAGCGTGTCGTCGTAGCTATCTCGTACTGTTTTATGAGTTCGTCAGCGCTGCTTTCATCGTTAACATACCCGGAATAAGGGTCAAACTGTACGGTCCATCTTGAAGCCCAAGGTGTACTGTTATCAGCCATGTTTGTTCTTCTACCAAACATTTAGATTTCCCGCCAATATTTACCCGCGAGCCGCAAAACATAAATGCATGAGTGTTAAATATTAACTGGACCACCCCTTGGCAAATATATTTATTAGTAGCAAATAAGATGTTGAACAAAAACCAAGAGATCATGGTCAAATAAAACTTAAAGATAATTTATTACAAACAGAAAAGAACTGTATGTTTGTTCCAATCGAAAGATTTTACAGTGCAAAGTTATGCAAATGATCTTTGACCTGAATCTGCTTTTGGTCGATGATAGCGAGGTCAGAGGATAACATCGACCGAAATTATTGGGCCGGTCATATTTAAGTGTCGATCCTCCTTTTAACGCCCTAATAACAGGCTAGATTTTTTCTTAAATATGTGATCTAGACAGAAATTAGTTTGTACAAGTTATGGGAAGAATACTTTCGCAATAAAATATTGAAGAACACGACGCTTTATCGTCAGTCACACAGGTCACGGTCTCTTGATTCGCCGGAAACGAGCAGAAAAATAGAAGACTCTCGCTACGATTCCGCTGACGTGTCATGGGCTCATCTGGTTTGGGACGATGATATGTATTGCCTTAGGGGTGTTGTCAATTAATCAGATCGACCGAAACCAGGTCGACAACTTACGAACCAGCCAAACATTTCGTTAACAGCGCCATCGATCAAAATGTCATTACACTCCAACAAAAGACCCGCTTTTCTGTTCAAATCTGCCAGAAACTGGCTCAAACGCACTTCCTATTCCATGAGTACACTGTAAACTACGCTTTAACAAGAATAAGCGGAAGTCACGTTGTAACCTGCGGATACTCATACAAGATGCCGCTGATATGTCGTGGGCTCATCTGGTTTAGGACGATGTTATATAGTGCTTTCCATCTAGGTGGGCACCAGCATGGCGGCTCCATACAAATCTCTATAAATTTGGGAAAAACGTTTCTCCTCATATCTTCCGTAAGAAAAATTGCTGTGACCTGAATCTTGGCGAGAGTCTTTACATATCTAGCTTCTTTCTATTTCCAGATTCTAGACTAAATCGATTGAACGGTTTTTATTTTTTATTTTGATCTATTTTGAATGGCGTGACACTGAAAACCAGCAATAGCTTATGTAGGCATTTTTGTAAAATGCGTACATAACCCAAAGTATTCAAATGAAATCAAGTAGTGTGGCCACTTAGCGGGGTAGTCTCCAGGCTGTCCTCGGAAATGAAATCGAAAGGGAAAAAGAAATGAATGAAGCGATTAATGAATGACAGCAACATTCTTGATAAAAATGATGATCATGAAGTGTAATAACAATCGAAGTTCTTTTAATTTGCGTGATCACCTTAGAGGAAAGATCGGAAGTCATAAGTTCTTTTAATTTTCTTTTAGTAATAAACAAAAAAAGTTCTTCGTACACTTTGTGCACGTTTGAGAAATTTTGAGGACAAATCATTATCAAAGATGGCATCTCATTTCAATAATCCGCGAGAATATGTAGGTCTTAAAACACTGTTTAAACTCAGGTACACCGCACGCAGCCTTATAAGACGAACACAACAACGTTTTGAAACCATGCATAAAGAAAAAATTTGATTTTATCATTACGACTCCAGCCCGGATTATTTGTGACTTACTGAAATGGGTGACACCGCTGGATTTTTTACCTCGAAGGCTCGGTTTATTCCTTTGGGCATTGCTTTCGGTGGCTGCCGAAAACGTGTCGAATGATTTTTGCGAATTTACGGATTTCATAAGAGATAAAACTCTTGACGCTTGTGAAGAATTAGTATCTTTCGACGTTGTTTCGCTCTTCACTAAAATCCCAGTTGATCTTGCCGTTAAGGTTGCGGAGGAAAGACTCAGAGAAGATGCTTCCCTAGGACAAAGAACTTCTTTGCCTGTGGAGGATATTATTCATCTGCTGTCTTTTTGCCTCAAAACCACGCAATTTACATATAACGGCACATACTATCAACAAGTTTTTGGTACAGCTATGGGTTCGCCTGTTTCTGCTGTCATTGCTAACATGGTAATGGAAGACGTGGAACAAAGGGCCTTAGCCACTTCACCGGTTAAACCCTTTTTCTGGAAACGATATGTCGATGATGTTATTTCTGCGGTATCCGGAAATGAAGCGGAGCGCCTCTTGTCGCATTTGAATTCAGTAGAGCCGTCGATCCAATTCACCCTTGAACGTGAAAAGGATAGACATTTGCCCTTTCTTGATTTAAATGTGTCTAGAGGGGTTCAGGGTAATTTAGAGACAAGTATCTATCGTAAACCCACCCACACCGACAAATACCTCGCTTTCGATTCTCACCATCCTATTTGCCATAAAAAGTCTGTAGCCAAAACTTTACTTAGGAGGGCTGATTGTCTACCATCATCACTCGATTCGAAGGCTGAGGAGAGGAGATATGTTTCCAATGTCCTAAAGGCAAATGGCTATACAAAAACTTTTCTCCGTAACTGCCAAAAACCAGTTACAAATAGTAACGCTCTTGATGAAAGGGAACCAGCGACTGGTTTTGCTGTTATTCCTTACATACAGGGTGTTACTGAACCCATCAAGAGAATTTTGAATAGCCACAACGTTAAAGTTGCTCAAAAACCTTTTCAGACTTTGGGGCATATTTTCGCCAAACCTAAGGATCCTGTCACGAAAGAACAACGAACCGACGCCATTTATTCTATTCCTTGCAATGACTGTGATAACGAATACATCGGACAGACCAAACGCCAGTTTGGTACACGGTTAAAAGAGCACCAAAAAGCGGTTTTTCTTTGCAAAAAGGAAAATTCAGCTTTATCGGAGCACACTTGCCTAACCAACCATACAATTGGGTGGGATAATTCTAAAATTATCACTACTAATCGGCGTTACCACCAGCGCCTTTGTTTGGAGGCTTGGCACATTAACTCCGCCCACGCTCCTTTAAATCGTGACGATGGCGGTCTGCTTCCTGACGCCTATTTACACCTCGTCAGAAAAAAGGCCGCTAATTAGTGATCATATAAAAGGACCTCTTGTTGCAGCGTTTAGATCACCCCTGATGAAGGCACTAGACAGGAGTGTCGAAACGTTGGGTCTATGAATTGTAACTTCTTCGGTTACATTCATTAAATCTGCAAACCAGTGTAGCTTCAAACTATGTCTGATTGTCCACCTGGTTGCCGTGTGAACTTTAATATATCTGATTTCGGTTTTATTCGTTTCGAAAAAGGTGAGATATTTTGGAAGAAGACCAAAGGAACTGCGGAAGGTACTTCAAAAGACTTGGACAATAGTGTAATTAAGCTACCTTGCGCGAACAGACTTCTGATCTTGTATCCTTTTGTTTACATTGTCTTGAGATGAATGAACTTGAGATCGATAAACTGAAATCATTTGAATGGATTTAGTTTCTATTCACGGTGTATTTTTAGCCTTAATATGTTTTTAGGATTAAAGAGCGTCGCAAAAGATTTAAAAATGGATCTTGGACGAGTTGTTGTAATCACTGCGAAGAGCAAAAGCGAAAATAGTTTATCATTTCGAGCGCCGATCGGCGCGGCGCGGCGGCGGTCGGTCGGTCTTGACTCGTGGAGTTAATCATGCGTTGCTGTCTTTCGACATTTTGCACACGCGGTGACTGCATAAAACATTTAATGAGTTAAAACTCTATTTTTTGGCTACCAGTATTTAATTGGGGGTGTTCTAAAAGTTATTAAAGGTGACAGAAATAAGATTTCAATTCCAAAAGTTGCCTGGCTTAAATAAACAGACAATTCTCGAGTGACACACGTGATATACGTATTACCAAACCACCATAACTAAGCACAAGAAATTGTAGATCGGCAGATCGCCTTAGCTGAATTTTGCCCTTGCAGCGTGGAACGTGAACGGATGTTTACAAATTGTGAATGAACTATTGTCAAGAAGCAACCGTGTCTTGCTTGTTGTCAGCAGTCACGCAAGCCAACCACCAATCACGCGGCGTTCGCTGATCGATCGATCCACAAAGTCGACTGAATCAAGCAAAACAGAGGTAATGTTTATAACCAAAGAAACGAGAAGAGGAACAAAAGTAAAAAAAGTCCCGAAATCGACTCTCAAGTCGCATTACAACACTTCAAGGGGGGTTTGTTTACGCGAGTCATTACGTGCATTGAAAACTCTACAACGTATTTTATTAATTTATTATACTCATTACTCGTACTTTTATTTTTTCCACTGGATAAAAATATCTTAGAAAGCAACAAAGCAAGTTCTCAATGATTTAAGAACCCTGTTTAAAATCTATATGGTATATTTATACCGCTTGTTCTCTTAACTTCACATCGCAAATACCGTACTATGTTAAAATACGCGAGCTCCGTTTGGGGGCGCGCGGCGCATGCAATGTTTACTTCTTCTTGAAAAGACATGTAAGCTGATAAGTGCTTGGGTTTGATCCGAGGTTGATGTCTTTGACATGTTGCCAAAGAAGAAGTGGGGAGAAACACTCGACTACATCTCGTGTTTCTCCCTACACTTCTTTCGTGCTCTAGCCGCTTCCTGCGTGCTTTATAACAGAACAGAGCACAGCCAAGGCTTCTCTATTTGTTAAATCGACTACATATTGTCATTTGCTTTCATAAACTGATCAGACAGAAAAGAAGAAGCATCAATATATTCAAGCATGTCCCTTCAGTGGTTCAGGTCTGCTGTGGTTACTCTTATCAAACTGGTGCTGGTTTTTGGTCGGCATAATGTTGGAGCAGATTTCAGCGATAACTGTGACAACTCGCCTAATTCCCTCTCATGCATCCACACGTATGAAGAGCTTTATAACAGCTTAGCGAAGTCAGAAAACAGTTTTAACATTGAGTCAGCTATATATCCATCCAGGAGGCCTTCTTCTGTCCGTGTGTTTGTAAATTTACATGGTCCTAACGAGACAGAAAACCTCATCGTGCCATACACTTGGAGCCTTTCCTGTTTTTATGTTGCTGTCCCACCACTACTACTGGACATTTTGTCCCTCGGATCCATCCTTGTGACGCCTCGGACTCAAACACTGAATATAACTATTCCATATTTCTGCTGCAATGTGTCAAAGAAGGAGAATGAAAGAAGGATGATCATTAAAGAAAGGATTAAAAGAGCTCTCGCATCAGTAAGTGTGTTGTTTTCTCCCTTAATTTGGAAACAACAGGAAACTGAACAAAATAGCTGCTTTCAGCCCTCTTAGTCCTCCGTTAGTTTGCAAGTATACTAAAATGAAAGGAAAATAAACGCTTTTATTTGGTTAGCAATAAGGTACACGGACGTCCCCCTAAATGAGAATTTAAACAGCTTTTGGTCCTGAATTATTCTAAAGGTGTTTCGAGTACGTGACATTAGTAATTATCTTAGCTTAAGTCTACTGCTAAGTCTTTCGAGCCAAGCAACCTACACTTTCCATATTTTTTACCGTTTCCCAAATACATGAAGCTATTAAGGGGATCTCTGCTCTACTGAGACTGGTTGCAAGTTCATCGCATGTATTTGTAACAAGCACCTTGAAAGTTTGCAGGCCGGTACCCATCAATATTCGTTAATGGAAAAAGGCATTGCTTAACTCACTAATAACTGTCTCTTAGCTATTGACCATCTTTTAAAGTTTATACAATTTTGATATAAAATTGCTGGTACATTTCAGCTTCAAGATCTTGCCGTATCACCAGGGATACGGGATCCAAGGATGAACACAGCGGAATGTGTTATCGAAGGCCACGGAATAGACATAGAGGCTACAGGACGCAGTGTGTACATCAGAATAATCCAATGGTGTTCAATACTTTTCGCTTTGGCAGTTTACTTTATATTGGCTTCATTTGCTGAACATTGTAGAATAGAAGGTTGGCCAGAGAATACCGCAGAGAGGGAAAACACGAATACAACCGGCCGAGACAAGCAAAAGATCAGGATAAAAAATACTGCTAAGGCTATCTACTATCTAATTATTTTGTTGTCATTTCTTGGTCATTTTCAACATATGGTGATCATTGCAGTTCTTGCAGTGTTTTACCGGAAAGAAGGTCTCTTTTACGTTGAAATTCTATTTATTTTAGTCCCTATCTGGTTCACAATGGTAATCTATTTATTACGTGGCCCAATATCCAATTTCCATGATTTCTTGGAGAAGCATTTTCCATGCCTGAAGCTACCTCGTGCCCTGCCAGTTTCGATTGATAGGGGAGAAGAGGACTATCCCTCCATGAGGACGATTAATTCTATATCGGTTGCCCTTACATTTTCAGCCATGGCTAGTTTCTGTTCCTATTGGATGCTAATTGGCATAATGCTTAACCCAACTTGGGGCTTGACTGTTACGCTTATAATATGCTTTATTTTTGCCTCCTTCACTTATGCTGTCTACGAATATCTTACTTTAATTAGCTGTACACAAGATGAAGTGAAACCCGATAAACTGCATGCTCTATTGCCTGGTATGTTGAGTTTTCTTGCTGTTCTTTTCCTAATCCCGGCATTACTATTCGCCAGCCCGTGGTTTAATGGAAGAGAAAATGCGTATGAAACAGTAACGACCATACTTATGACTGCTCTTGCTACCTTCATTTGGTTGATTTCTAAGAAGCTTCTGGGCAAGAAAAAAAAATCAGAAGAGAAAGTCATAGACTCAAGACAGACACTTACAGGTGTCTCTATTAGTGACGCAAGGCAGCCTTCATCCAGTGAGCTATCAACCCATAGCGCCTCAAGTCAGAATTCATATTATTCATGTCATTCCGAATCTCATCCACTAGTGAATGATCACGGTACTGCGGAAAGCCAGCCCTCAAATGATGATTCATTTATATCATTGTCGCAAAAAAGCCAAGCATGTGGCAAAATGGTGCAAAATAGTGAAAATATCGAATTTAACGAGACACAAAGGATATATAGAGAGAGCAACGTGTAGCAAAATCTGAATTTGTTGGCTTAAAACTCGGTCTCCACATGGAATACCACTTTCATTTGCGATCGCCTTCTTAAGTTACGATTTGTAGGGTCAAAGAAGAAATTTGAATCGGCTTGCAGAGTTTAAAATGTAAAAATAGTCGTTCAATAGCAGAGAAACTATTTCCTACTGCTTCTATTATGACATATGTTGAGTAACCACTTGTCTGGAAACTCATACATAATTTACATACATAAGGTTTCGAGACTTTATTAAAGTCAATTGCATCACGAAGAACAAAGCGCAGTGACAAAATGTTAGGGGGAAAATTATGTGTTCTAGTTTGGACAAATTTTTAGTATCTTATGGCCGCGCAGTTCAAGTTTATTTTTCCGGTTTCGACCTAGTTCCTGTGTTCAGTTCGTTCTTTCACTTGACCAGTTAAGCGGGGAAGGATGATGAACGGGTTGTTCTATTCAAATTGTTGCTATATTATAAAATTATAACCAGAGCAATTGAATTGATAATGTATATCATAAAATATTATATTTAGTGTTTTCATGGTCTTTTTGGGCAAATATATTCGCTAATCTTCCATATATATTCGTGTACTTTCGCTTTTAAAAAATTGGGTTTATTGGGGTTTTCTTTCTAGTAAGTTAAATAAAATGTCTAAAAACCACAGTAGCTTTTGGAATAGATTTTTGTTGTTACTCGCTTCATCATACGCACCTGCTTGTCGGCACTTTTGTTATTTATTACATGGTTCTTTAGGTAAATATATGTTTTAATGGTCTTTTTGTAAAATTGGTTTTCATAGTAGTTAGCAGCTAAGTTTATACTCGTAACTTAATTTCTTTTCACATGACGGTTTCCACACCAGCCTTGCGTAGATAAGCGGAAACTTTTAATTGTTTTTCCGTTTTTATTTCCTAAGCTGCTCTGCTGTGATCAAGATAGGTATTATTTTCTATACAAGAACTGTGGATTCGCACCTAAGTTTGCTACTTTAATGGCCTCGAGTTTATTGTATCCGTCCTTTTAATTTTGAGATTATTTTCGTCGTAGAAACAGATGGAATATCTGAGTAATTTTCGTTTATCTTCAAAGAGACCTTTTTCCGCTCCTTTGTGTCTTTATTCGAATATTGCGATCTGTGTAACAATAGCACCTCACACCAGTTAGTTCTTAAGCAAGTACCTTGTACAGTTTTGATGATTACAGTTTTAGCTATGACTCTAGCATGATGTGTGTTAGAGCGCTCTACGAATAAAAGTACTGTGGAACCAAAACGCTGTCTCCTCCTTGACGTCCGTACAAGCTCATTAGAAGTAGATCTCCGTGTGCCAGAAAATCGTGACGAGTTTTCGTTCTCGCAAGCCGAGTGGTCTCTACCAAGTTAAGTACGTTCCCGCGAATTCCAGTTTAGTGCGCGAAAACCTATCATCACAATAAGTGGCAATGGTGGTTGTGTGTAGAAAATATGCCATCATTAAGGAAATGTATGAACTAGATATTTTTCTAACATTGGGGTTGTTACTTGAAGAACGATCTGTCGGGGAGATTTTTAGTAAGAAGAAGAAAGAAGCAAGATTTTTCTATGTTTTAGATAACTAACACCCAAGTAAGTGATCTGTGGACGTTCGACTTCCGTCGTCACAGGCTTGAATGAAATTTTTGGATATCTCATTTTGGTGCGGTTTCACTCGATCATTTGGTTTGGGAGTCTTCTTGACAGGGAAGGTACTTTCCACCTGTTTCGTAAGATTTTTCTTTTAGTGATACGCTTGTCGTCCGTCCATCAAAAAATCAAAAATGTCATCAGGGTTAAGAGTTTTTTTATTACCTGAAAAGTTTGCTGACAAAAGTTTGCCTACGAAAAAGCCTTACATTCCAAATTTATTCGACACAATATGAGATTTCGATGTCTAAATTTTAATGTTTTTGCGAGGTCTTAGTGACTAGAATTAGTGATTCCGTGGTCATCTGTGATAATAGCAAGAGATAAAATTAGGACAGTGGAGCTTGCGATAAGTCAGTTGTCAATAAAAGTGGATCACCTCAAAGTTAAGCAGGCTTTGTTTAACGATTAAAAATGACCGTATATGGCTACTTTGGAACAATGGTGGAAACAGCTTTGAAATACACGCGGGATTTTTCAAAATTTCCGATTATCATACGAGCGGCAGATTTAAACCATCGGCAAAACTGATGATAAGACAAATCCTCCCCGTGGGGGTGATTCTGGTAGATTTTTTAGGATGCAAATAGTCACGGTGGGGTGGATGGTGGGGCGACTGTAGCTTTCGTATCTGAAGTAAAGAGATGCCACCGTTTTTTCCTTTATATTGCTTAAAACTGGCGAAATTTCTCCCATTCGACTCGACTGTTCAATCCGAAAATGACAATTTATATAGCGCCAAAAGCTCTAAGGCGCTTCACAATCAAAGAAAAAAATAAAAATAACAATCAAAGGTAATCATTCATAAAAATAATGCTTAAAAAGATAATTTTTAAGATTACGCTTAACAGCGTTAAGATCTACACTACATTTTATGGTTTCAGGAATGTCATGCCACAGCTTAGGTGCAGAGACAGAAAAGGCGCGATCGCCATAAGATTTCAACTTGGAGCGAGGAATCACCAACAAATTCCTACTCGATGATCGTATAGACCTGATAAGCTTATAAGTTTCTAACAAGTCACTGATATAACTAGGGCATAAATTATTTAAAGCTTTAAAAGTAAAAAATAAGATTTTAAAAATAATCCTCTACTCCACGGGGAGCCAGTGCATTTCCCTCAGTAAAGAAGTAGCGTGATCATGCTTGCGACCACATAAGATCAGCCATGCCGCACAATTCTGGGCTAATTGCAATCTATGAACTAAACGTTTCGGAAGACCATATAACAGAGAATTACAGTTGTCTGATCTGCATGTGACGAAGGCGTGTAATAACGCCTTAGTACTACTAACTGACAAAAACTTTCTAGTCCGAGAAATATTCCGGATGTGAAAAAATGCAGATTTACAAATAGCAGAAACTTGACGTTCCATATTTAACTTATTGTCAAAGATTACACCTATGTTCTTGGCAGAGTGCGAAGGCTGTATAACAGAACCGTCAGTCGCTGTAAACGAAGGAAGCTGAGAAGCAGACAAATTACCCGATCCGATGACCAAAAGCTCAGTCTTATCATCGTTTACTTTAAGCTTGTTCAATGACATCCAAGTTCCAATATCTTGTAGGCAGGCTTCGATTCTCGTAGTAGTAACTGATGAAACTCAGTCAAGCGAAAAATAAATCTGACAGTCATCTGCATAGAAATGGAAGTTCATATTATGTCTTCTTATAATGTCGCCGAGAGGAGACGTATACAATAAGTACAAAATCGGACCTAGAACAGATCCCTGGGGAACTCCAAACAATCAAATCAGAGTGACAGGAATTTGATCCATTTATGCCAACAAATTGACTTCGGTCTGTGAGATAAGACTTAAACCAAGCAAGAACCTTGCCTTTGATACCAAACCGAGTATTAAGTCTGTGAAGTAATAAACCATGGTTGACCGTGTCAAATGCCGCAGAAAGATCGAGCAGTAATAAAACAACAGTACAGCCACGATCCACAGTACATAAGATGTCGTCATGAACTCTCCGGAAGGGCAGTCTCAGTGTTATGCAATTTCTTGTAAGCAGATTGTAATTTCTCATCAAGGTTGTTGTCATCAATATACTGCACAAGTTGTACCGCAACCGATTTCTCAATCAATTTAGAGACGAACGGAAGGTTAGAAACAGGACGAAAATTCTTAAAAAATCTTCAGTATCTAAATTAGTTTTCTTTTACAATGGAATAATCAAGGCAGTTTTGAGTAAGTTTGGTATAAGAGCCTCATCTAAGGAACGATTTACAATATCAGTTATGACTGGTAACAACCTTGGTAAACATTAAGTTAGCGCATAATCTGGGAAGGGATCGAGAGCACAAGTTTTCACTCTGGAGGATTTAATAAAGTTAGCTATAAGGTCGGTAGAAACACGTTGAAAAGTCGCAAATTCACAGGACCGGGATTGAGTCGCAGAGTTATTCAAGGAAGGGACATTCGGAAATCCAGTACTATGAACAGGTAAACTATCGCGTATACGTCGTATCTCGTCAATAAAGAATGATTTGAACTTTTCAGCTATAGCCATATCCGAACCCACAGAAGGATAACGTACTATTGGTTTCCTGTATAAAAAATTATTAACTGCTTTAAATAATATTTTCTGGTCTCCTTGGTTGCTTTCAATTATAGATGAAAATTGGTTTTCTTTTGCACAACGAATCAAGTCATTCACCTCACGAGAATGTTCGGTGTATAATAGATGATTAGCTTCGGTGTTATGCGCGCGCCATCGTCTATCCAGTTTTCTTCTCTTTCTCTTTGCAACTTTGATTTCATCCGTAAACCATGGCGCATAAGGGGAAGGGTAACAGACCTACGAATGATTGGGGCATGATTGTCGATCATAGATTGCAGCGGAGTGGAGTTGAATTGATCAAAAGCTAATGAAAGGTCATCATTTAGAGGTGATCTAATTAGCGCAGAGTCTTCCAAGTCAGAGGAGAACTTATACATGTCAATGGCACGTAAACGTCGGAAAGATAACATTTGATCTTGAGCAACATGTTTACAAAATCCAGATTACACCGGATCATAAAATGATCAGAAAATGCAGGATCAAAGACTCTTGAGATTCTTGATGAAAGATTGTTCCTCTCTAGTGATAACGAGGTCTTATGCGTAGAATCATTTACATGCTGGCGAAGGTTAAATGAATGGCCAGTAAATCGCCGACCAGCATTATTTTGAGAATCAACATGAAAGTTGAAGTCAGCAACAATCAGCAAATAGCCTGATGCCATTACTATATGGGCAAGATAGCTAGCAAACTCATCAAAAAACAGTGACACATTGGATGAAGGAGGACGGTACAAGACAATTAAATGGACAAAATACTTCGTAGCCCTGA